TGCCTGCGGGACGGTGGATCCCGGCACAGGGAAGAAAAACAACCTGCAAGGTCTTGTCCTTAATCCCTCTGCTGGGTTGGCTCCTGCATCGGAGCCGGGTACCTGCTGTGACAGGCAGGGCTGCCATCTCCACAGCACCCTTGGGTGCCCTGCAAACACGCCGGGCATGACGGCACGCGCTGCGGGGGACGCAGCCAGCTGCGGCGGCGGGGAAACGGCGCAGGCGCGTGTGCACGGGAGGAGAGGACACCCAGGGAAGGTGAAGCAGGGCTGTGATAAACCTCTGGACTTTGGCACGGCTCTGGGGAAGGAGGAGGTGCCGGGGGGTTCGTCCCCGGCCATGTGTGCCGTCGGCGTTGCCTCCGCAGCCCCGCGTGGCTCTTGAGGCTCTGCCCGCCCCACGCTCCCCAGCTGGGCTGTTCCCACCCGGATCCGGCTCCTGGCCCGGGGAAAGGCTGTTATTTACCTTCAAACCTGTTTGGTGGCTTCTCCCGGGGAGGGGACGGGTGCGGGGTGGGGATGTGGTGGGACGGAGGCTGGAACGGGGGCCAAGGATGGGAGTGGGGGCAAAGTCAGGCATTGAGGGGGGGGGGTCCTGGGTCCTGCCTTCCTCTGCAGTGCCAGGACCCCCGCTGTGGGGTGCTGCCAGACCCTGGAATGGCCAATGTCACACGTCACCACACGGGCAGCAGCGAGGTCAGGGCCAGGCCGGCTGCGGCGCAGCCCCGTCGCAGAGCCCGGTGTGCTCCTGCCGTGACAGCAGCCCTGCCTGGAGGTGGCTGTCGGGGTGACTGTTCTCCTCTGAGTGGGGTTTCACCCCACGCCAGCTCCTTTTCCGTGGCCCTTTGGCTCGCTGGGGTGATGCAGGGCAGTTTTCTGCCCTACAATTTAGAGGAAGAAACCAGCTCAAGTTTGTTTCCCTGTTTGAAATGGATTTTATTCCTGCCTCTGCGTGGGATCGTGTTTGAGAGCCGAGCCAGCGGTGCAGATCGGGTCGTGTTTATTTGCTTTGTGGAGATGTTTTCCTGGCTGAAGCAGCAGCCCCCGAGTGAGCCAAGGGCGGGCTGCAGCCCCTGGGCTGGCAGCGGGGGGCTGCGTGGCCGGAGCCACAGTAAATATTATTGTGCTCTTATCCTGCCTGGAGAGAGCATGGTCCCGTGGCGTGTCCAGGGCACGGATCCTGTGCAGAGACAACAGGGACTCAGGGAGTGAGGGTGGCTGGGCTGGTTGCCTCCAGTAGGGTCGCTGGCCCCCCAGCCTCTCTCCCTAGCCAAGGGCCAGGGTGGCAGAGGTTGGTGCCAGGGCCACGGAGCTGGAGGTGATGGGCCCAAGGGAAAGCTAAATGGGCTCAGGCTTGTGAAGAGGCAGTGGCGTTCCTGACAGGGAGATGCCAGCAGGGCTGCCTGCTCCATCCTGTCAGCTGGGGAACGGGCTGGTTGTGCTGCAAGGGGAGAGGATGATTCGGAGGGAGCAGAGGGGCTGGATCCCGGAGCAGAAGGGCTGGATGCTGGACCAGAGCATGGGGACTCTTGTGGCCATGGCAGAGACCCCGTGCTGGCTGTTCCCTGGGGGTCTCAGGGCTGGGGTTGGTTGATGGTGCACCCCATTGGCATTATCCACACTTATGGCATCCGCAGGCAAGTCCTGCTTTGTCCCCTCTCCAGTGTGGGGAGCAGAGGGGTCCCCAAGCCTCTGTGTTCACCTGGACGATGGTGGCCAATGGTGGGAAGGAGCCCCGAAGTGGTTGGAGAGCATCTATCGCATGGGGCAGGGGGTCTTCTCGCTGCCTTCTGCACCGTCCCAGCTGCTGGGAGAAGGGGGGGCAGGTCTCCATCCCACTGAGCAGGACACAGGCAGGCAGGTTCACCTCCCCTTCCTCCCCTGGGGACCTCGCAACCCCCTTCCCTCCCGCCTGCCAGCTCCCCCCTCCTCCCCATTTTTCTGGGGTGAGTCAGTGGTGGTAGAGCTGCGCTGCCTGTTCCCTGCCTCCTGCCGCAGGACCCGCCGCTGCGCAGGGAGAAGGCAAGTCGGGGCAGTGCCGTGCAGGCAGAGATGGATGGGTTTTTGCAGCTGAGTCCAGCCCAACCTGCTGCTTGCAGGAGGCACAGGCCTGGTGAGGAGGGGGACAGGACACAGGATTTCCTCCTCCCGCTCTCCCAGTGGGAAGAGCGGCATCGTGGCTAAGCCAGCTCCGGGAGGGAGCTGGGATGGCATGGTATCCTGCTTGCAGCATCGCTGGTCTGGGGCTGTACGGTCCCAGCCGTGTTCCTTCGGGGTCTCAGCTCCAGTTTCTCCCAGTGCAGCTCTTCCCATTCCCATCCCGGTGCCTTCCAACCCTGCTGGAGCAGACGGAGCTGCAGGCATGGTGCCTGGGGTTCCCTGCCCCTTCCTGTCTCTTTGCCTTGCTGTGGGGATGCTTTGCTCCTTCCGGACCATCCCTGGCACTGGTGGTGGTGGTGGTGGTGGATACCAGCTCCGAGGCAGGGAGACCGTCCTTGAGAGAGTGCCCGGCCCCGAGAGGATCCCGCTGCCACGTGCAGCCGAGGCACGTGTGTCAGACCAACGCCGGGAGCCCGGGGGGGACGGGGCGATCCAGGGCGCGTCGCAAGGAATGCAACGAGGGACGGGACGCCAGCTCCCACCGGGCGTGTTGGTACCGGCATCGGCTGCAGCTGCGGCAGCTTCCTCGGGCCCACCGAGCTCTGCAGCCTCTGCCGCAGGGTCAGACCTCTCTCCCTCCGGGCTTCTCCCCTTTTCCAGTCCCTTTTGCAGCAGGTTCAGCCATGTGTTGACAGAGCTGGGGTGAGGCCGCCTGGGCGAGGAGGACGCGGTAGCGAAGGTCACGGGGAGTGGGAGGAGCAGCGTAGGCTGCCCTTCGCACGCCGCCACGCTCCCCAGCGTCAGCCCCCGGTACAAGGCTCCTCCGAGGCCCCGCTCCTGCTCCCGCTGGGTGGTGGCCACGGTGTCCTGCCCGGATTATCCTTCTGGTGATTGCAGCCAGCGATGCTGAGCTCCTCCTTCCCCACGCTCGGGAGGGGGACACATGTCTCCATCAGCAAGGGATGGTCTTGAGACCCTTTTGGGTCTGTCTGCTGGTACCTGGAAATGTCCTCACAGCCCTGGACAGCAGCTTCCATGTGTGCTGGAAGCTCAGGGCTGAAGCTCAGCGGTGCCTGGGCCCTGGACTGTTGGCACAGGGAGGGGACTGTCCCCCTTTACCTGCCTCACAAATCTGCCGGTGCTGTGCTGGGGGCTGCCGGGTGCAGTCCCATCCGTGGAGGCAGAGCTGGATGAATCCCAGAGGATTGGACCCAGTGTCACTCTTGGCTGCGTTTGCCCACCATCGCCCTGGCCCCCGCTGGGACTCGTGATGGGCTGCCCGGGGAGGAGAGGGCAGCGTTCAGCACAGCACGTGGCCGCCCGCTTTGTGCATCCTCAGCCCTTTAATTATGTCCCTTTTCCACTTGTGCTGTGAAAAGAGCTGGGGAGCGTCTGCTGCAGCCGCCGGCACCTTCTGGGTGAGCGTGTGGGCAGCGGGGGCTGATCCTGCCCGCGCTGGAGGCAGGGTGCTGGGTTATGCATAGCAGGGGCTACAGGGCATTGCTTGCATGTGCTGTTGTGGACATGCAGGGGGAGAAATCCTCCCGAAGCCTGGAGCTGCCCGGCCGGGGACGCCAAGGTGCCCTTTGCAAGGTCAAAGTGTCCCTCGGGCTGTTCAGTGCCTGGTGGGACCCTTGCTCTCTGCTTTGGGTGACGCTGCTCTGTCTGCAGCCAAACCTCTGTCCTGCTGCAATTGAACCTGTGAGCAGCCCCTGGGGAGCTGGAAGGGCAGGAGAAAGGGGGTTTGACACGTTGGCTCCTGGCTGGCACGAGGACGGCCCTTCCTGCTGCGTAAATAATGTGAGCTCTTCAGCTTTTGGGGCCAAACGCCTGGAGATGGGAGGGATGGAGCTCCCTGAGGTGTTGGGCACCCAGAGCTCATGGAAAAGGCAAATTCCCCTTCTGCCTGAGGCATTGCACAGCACCTCGTGCGGTGGGGACGGGTGGCTGTCAGTGCCAAAGTCTGTGCCAGTGCCTGACCGCCCGGCATTTCTTCCCCTGCCTTCACGTGCCCCTGTGCCAGCAGCTGGAGCTACTGGTTAGACTGGTCTGAGACCTCATTCTCCCCCAGTGCTGCCAGCTCTCGTGACCGTGACGTAGCCGTGCTGGGTACCCGGTCCCCAAGGACAAACACCCTTTGCCCCGTGATGGCTCGTGTCCTCCCGCTGTGGGCTGAGCAGTGCTGGGAGCAGGGCTCTCCCTGGCAGGGACAGGGGGGAACCACAGTGGGCACCGGGTCCTGGGGGGCACTGGGGACAGCCAGGGAATGCCTGCACATCCCAAGGGCCGGAGGAAAAGCCTCCCACCTCCTCCCAGTTGGACGCACTGTTGTGGAAGCGAGCAACTGGTTTGCAGGGATGCTGTGCCCAGTGGGGAGCAAGCAGGGAGGGTCCGGGGGGGGGGGGTCTCAGGGGGGCAAGAGGGGGGGGTTGGGGAAATTCCAGCCCTGAGCCCGGC